GTGGTGACCCCTCTAGACGAGGCCTCTGTACGTGGTGACCCCTCTAGACGAGGCCTCTGTACGTGGTGACCCCCCTAGACGAGGCCTCTGTACGTGGTGACCCCCCTAGACGAGGCCTCTGTATGTGGTGACCCCTCTAGACGAGGCCTCTGTATGTGGTGACCCCTCTAGACGAGGCCTCTGTACGTGGTGACCCCTCTAGACGAGGCCTCTGTATGTGGTGACCCCTCTAGACGAGGCCTCTGTACGTGGTGACCCCTCTAGACGAGGCCTCTGTATGTGGTGACCCCTCTAGACGAGGCCTCTGTATGTGGTGACCCCCTCTGCCTTCCCTGGAAGGCCCTGCAGAGTTAATATTGTACTTCGGAGTCCTTTCATGTGTGACTTACAGCGCTGAACAAACATACTGGGTGAAAGCTGCAGAGCAGACAGTGAATCTGGAATAAGTTCAACCATGGCACAATATACAGTATTCTAGTGATGGTGGATAAGGCAGAACTTACACCTAACCCAGGGGGAGGCAACCTCACCATGGCAGCTGTTGTGGAACTACAAGTCCCATGAAGCATTGCAAGACTGACAGCCACAGGCATGACTCAAAAAGACATGATGGGATTTGTAGCTTCACCTCAGCTGGAGTGCTGCGGTTGCCTACCCCTAAACTAACTTATATATCACCGATCTCACCAGTCAAGTGATTTTGCATTGGGGGTTATCTAGGTCTAGATGCAAGATCCCATTTAATACGTATGATGGCATTCAGTAGACAAATTCCTTTTTTTATATACAGGCTCTTATTATGCTTTGTTATTATTATTATTATCATGTGACCCCGGATCGGTGCCATCATTGTATAACATGTAACAGGAGTAAACATCCGAGTCCCGAGTCACATGTTGGGAACTAAATCTGTCATTTCATTCCGTGTTTCCAGGTGACGCGATGCGCTCAGACAGCGGCAGCCCCCGCCGCAGCGGCGTCGGCCCGCATTAAGAAATTCGCAATCTACAGATGGGACCCCGACAAGCCAGGAGACAAACCACGGATGCAGACCTACGAGGTGGATCTCAATACGTAGGTGTCACCGATCACAAGGCTTTCCGGGGGGGCTGGGGGGTCTAAACAGAACCTTCTACATATGTGATATGAATAAAGATCCTTGCCGGGAGTCCAAAGGAGCCGATTTATCTAAAGCCAGAACGCTCCAACGTGATTGGGCTGAGGGATACTTTAACAATAATATTTATTAGAGGTGCACCGAAATGACAATTTCAAAACCGAAATGTAAAAAAATGTCAGGCAGAAACCAAAATGTTTTTTATTTTTTATTATCCTCAATTATCTACTAACACTCAGCGATCACTGACTGCTTGTACCCGCTCTCCATCCTGACACGCTGTCACAGGAGGCTGAGCGATCGGAGCGGGGAGGAGAGCTCGATCTGACAGCTGACTCCCCCCCCCCGCCGGCCTCCTGTGACAGCGCTGGCTGTCTCCGCCCCCCCCCCACACACCGCTCTCATCTGTGACAAGAGGCTGAGCGGTGCGGGGAGGAGAGACGCCGGCAGCTCTTCCCATTCATTCATTATTGGGGATATAGTAACCTTACTCTGTCCTCAATTATCTACTAACACTCAGCGATCCCCGACTGCTTGTACCCGCTCTCCATCCTGACACGCTGTCACAGGAGGCTGAGCGGAGCGGGGGAGGAGAGCTCCATCTGACAGCTGACTCCTCCCACACACCGCCGGCCGGCCTCCTGTGACAGCGTTGGCTGTCTCCGCCCACACCGTTTTCTCTCCTTCCCACTGGGACACAGAGCAGCGCCCAGGGTGGAGGAGTGAAAGAACAGATGCACCGCTGTATCTGCCAGAAAATGGCACCTTCGGCATTATGCCAAAGTGCCATTTTCGGGGGCCGATATATGGGTGCATCCCTAATATTTATTGGTGTGAAATACATTCATTGGACCCCCTTCATATACTAAGAGGCCGTTCCAATACACTGCCTGAAATCTTAATGAGTGCTGAGTGGGCGGGTCTATCCTCACAGAGGTCACATGATCTTCTAGTTGTAATAAATGGGGGCGGCACTCCCAGAATCCTTTAGGACATGCATGCCATCACATGTGGCAGGGGTAGGCAACCTCAGCAGTACGGAACTACAGGTCCTGTGAGGCTTTGCAAGACTGACAGCCGCAGGCATGACTCGCAGAGGCACGATTGGAGTTGTAGTTTCACCACAGCAGGACTGCTGAGTTTGCCCATCCTTGACATAGGGGGGTCACTGAACAGAAACACGCAAGCAGCAGGAGAAGCCAAACTCGGGGTCACTCACTAAATGGGTAAACGTGGATTAGAATGATGGCAATGGCAGCTTCCATCCTGACCGGTACCCTTTAGGCAGCATGAGGGAGACGGTTACAGGAGCTGGGAGTAGCGCGATTCATAACAAACATGGAGTGTTCCTTTTTTGTATAGAGATCTGTTATGATCCTCTCCTGAGGCTGACTGTGTCCCTTCTCTCCTCCCAGCTGTGGCCCTATGGTCCTCGATGCACTTATCAAGATAAAGAACGACATGGACCCCACATTGACCTTCCGTCGGTCATGCAGAGAAGGTGAGCGCGCCCGGCAGAGCATGTTGTGTTAGCGGTGTGTTACGTCAGGCCTACGTGCAAAAAGATAGGAGGGTCTCTTCCTATGTAGACGACGGCGCTCATCTTCTTCTATTTCTCTGTTCTCCAGGATCTCAGCAACTTCTACGCTCAGTATAAGTCCATCGAGCCTTACCTGAAGAAGAAGGATGAGAGCCAGCAGGGGAAGGAGCAGTACTACCAGTCCATAGAGGACCGCGACAAGCTGGTGAGTTCAATCATGGCGCAAGAGACCCCAGTGCGACCGATTGACCGCGACCTGCTGCTTTCATTCTCCATTACTACCCCCAGCCCCAGTAACACCCACTCTGGGGTGAATGACGTTGGGTCGCCCCCCCAGTTGACGTTGGGTCGCCCCCCCAGTTGACGTTGGGTCGCCCACCCCCCAGTTGACGTTGGGGCCCTCACATACACTTTAATACTGGGGTAGGCCACCTCGACATTGCAGCTGTTGTGGAACTACAAGTCCCATGAGGCATTCAGGACTCTGACTACCAGAAGACGCGGCATCATGGGATTTGTAGTTGCAGTGTCAAGCTTGCCTGCCCCTGCTTTATGAAATGATCAATGCCGGCGGCTGATGTATTGCTGTGCGTCCCTTTAGGACGGACTGTACGAGTGCATCCTGTGTGCGTGCTGCAGCACCAGCTGTCCCAGCTACTGGTGGAATGCAGACAAGTACCTCGGGCCGGCTGTCCTCATGCAGGTAATAAAGAAATAACCTCTACAGTATAATGTTACTCTGCGGGGAAAGCTGCAGGAAGATATCAGGCTGACGGTGCTTCGTGTGTTGATAGTTTCTCATGCCCCCCCCCGCAGGCTTACCGCTGGATGATCGATTCCAGGGACGACTTCACAGAAGAACGCTTAGCGAAGATGCAGGACCCCTTCTCCCTGTACCGCTGCCACACCATCATGAACTGCACCAGGACGTGTCCCAAGGTAAGTGCCCAACACTCCGCCATGTTATACATTGGGGGGGGGAATTAATCAATGACTGCTGAATGGCAGACTGTACCGGCTACCTGCGGACTCTTCATGAATAAAGATGTGGAAGAGTCCACCACAAGGACGGGTTCCCGTAGATCAGAAATGCTTTGAATGTGGAGATTTATCTGATTGTCATTGGGTGGTGAAGACGGAATATCTTCCCATGTGAACCTGATGTGGGGTTATTCCCCTTCCGCTACGCTCAGGAGACGCTCTCACAAGGAAGGTTGTTCCTGTTATCCGGGCCTTGTACTAGTCTCTCCTTGGGGGTGGAAGGACAGGGTCGGGTGTAGGTGGGGTCGGGGTGAAGGTCGGGCTTGGGGTGTAGGTGGAGTCGGTGTTGGGTTGAAGGTGTGGGGTTGGGGTGAAGGCGCAGACGGGGGGTCGATGTTCCTCTGCGATCTTTGTATGTAAATTCCGCTTCCCTCCTTTTCAGGGGCTGAACCCCGGCAAGGCCATTGCAGAGATCAAGAAGATGATGGTGACCTACAAGGAAAAAGCCGCCGTCGCATAAAATCTCAGCCGGTCTCCAGCACGCGTAGTCAAACGCACAACGGTCCCTTCTCCATTTAAGAACTCCCAACCCAAACTCCGCCCACCGCGCCCCTTTTTCAGGACCTTCCTGCCGCCTTTTAATCGTTTCCTGCTTCGCGGGCGTAGAGAACTCCTCTGAATTGTACGCTTCTTTACAATGATTAAAGCGATCGGTCTGTGTGTAGACTGGCTGACTGCAGCTCGGAGAATCTATCCCATTATTTGTAGATATTTTACCCGTTTTATCTCATTGGAAGACAGCGCGGCTCCGCGACCGGCCGAAGGAGGGCCCTCGGTGGGTGAATTCCTCCGGAGGGGACGCCGGGATCCAGTACCCGCTCGCGTGGTATGAAATGCCGAACCTGCTTCATCGGTCAGATAACGAATATACTGAGCGTGTTGCGTGTCCTCCATCTGCCCGCCGTGTAATCTCATCATTCTGTCTATAAAACTTGTCATTAAGGAGCCGTCTTCCATCCTTCCATGCAACTCGCACAATCAAGCTAGCAGCTTACACGATTCAGGGGCCCCAGATCTTCCTCAAGGGCCACACATTACATTGTTGACCAGCTCACCAGTCCTTAGATGTGCCTAC